CGTGTAATTGGTACTACTGTTGTCTAACTACATAGTTATATCTGCAAATTGTAATGATATGGTGATAATATTATATAATAATAGTATTTTGCCAATTAAATTTAAATTGTTTTGTTTTATACAACTTAGAATGGCAAACAAGCTGACGGCCCACCTGATGGAAAGTGGTAACCGTCGGCTATAGACATGAGCAGTACCACGGACATAACAGAGTATACTGTTTCGCCCATGATACCTCCCATGCGTTGCCATTCCTGAGGACTCAGGTGTTATTTCTCTTTACTCAGTAAATTCACGCCATATCCCACTCTTCAAACCGAAACACAGTCATGCAATTACAACTGCTTCACGGTTGAAACACGAATGGACAGAGGTACGCAAGCAATCGACTTCTCTACAAGGTCTCCTTCTGGTATTTAAATTGAATAAATGAATATTAAAATTGTTTTAGACTGTAAGTGAAGATTCAATTATTATTATTATTATATCAACCATTAACTGTCCACTATTGAACATAGACTTCCCCATAAAGAGGTTTTGCCAATAGGTCAATGGTTGCCACGCCAGTTGTCAACCGCAGTTCTGCTTTGGTGATGTTTTTAAGAGGGACGCTACTGTCCATGCTTCGTCTTTTAAGTTCCATCACTCTCGTCATATGATATCTACTAAAAAGGTATGACTCATTATATGCCGGGACAAGATATTAATTTACCTTTATCAATATCTTATATATATTAATTTAATACACTTGAACATAAAGATATACAGTATTTGGTTAAACAACTCGTTATCAAGGGTAGGTTTATCTCTGAAAGAGGTCTATTCCAGCCATTCCAATGTAGTGAGAGAGAAAATGATTAAAGGGTAATATATTACAGAAAAAGTTCTATACAAAATAATTAAAGATTGTCTTATACAAAAAAAAAAACCAACGTCAATTATAGCAGAACCAGTTATTTTGTTTTATGAACTAATCTACTGAACCCATTTTGATAAAATTTCTATGGGACTACTCTGTAAGTATAACCGTTCAGATAAAAGATGGTTTTTCCCAATCGGTTTAGAACCGACGGAGGTATGAAGTAACAAACACCAGAGGGAGACTTTGTATAAAAGTCGATTGCTTAGGTACCTCTGTTCCATTCGTGTTTCAACCGTGAAGCAGTTGTGATTGCATTTCTGTGTTTTTGTTTGAAGGGTGGGATATGGCGTGAATTTACTGGATACAGAGGTATAACACCCGAGTCCTCAGGAATGGCAACGCATGAGGGGTATCATGGGCGAGACAATATACTCTGTTATGCCCATGGTACTGCTCATGTCTATAGGCGACGGTTACCACTTTCCATCAGGTGGCCCGTCAGCTTGTTTGCCATTCTAAGTTGTATAAATAAATAAAAAAACAAAAAATATATAACCGAATTGAAAATCTCTTTTTTGAAGTCGATTGATAAAAAAGGAATAAAGGTTCCTTAAAAAAGGGGTAACGAGTTTCCTTCAAGACAACGTGCGCGTAATGACCCTGGTATTGCAGTTATTCATAGACTACGGTAACCGCTTACCATCAGTTGCACCGTATGCTTGTTTGCCACCTCTATGTTATGAAAAAAAGAACTAAGCTTAAATACGAAGTAGATAAAATATTAAAATAATAGACAAACATACATTGTAATATACATAATATTAAATATCTTATTTAATTCTAAATATGATCGTATAAATGGGTACAAATTGTACATAAAACCTACTGTTTGAAATTATCTGTTGCGTGGTTTAGAAGAAGTAAAGGGAGAAACAGATAGACGCAAATAGCAATCTTGTTTTGTGCTATTTGGAAATGTACGTAATTATACATAATCGAAAATAGAAAAAAAAGATTGAGTGCATTCAACTGAATTATGCCATCATTTCTAATCATTTGTAGCTGCTTGTAATAAAACATCCTTAAAATATTCTTATAATTTTTTTAACCGACTTTAATAAGAAGGGGCTTCTCAATCAGGTTGATTTTTTTTTTATAATTATTACCTCAGTACTCCATCATTTACAAACTAATTTGGTAATTTTTTTTATCTGAAAAGGTAGTCCTTCAAACTGTTTCCATAGAAATTTTATCAAAATCGGCTCAATAGTTTTAAAAATCAAAATAGCTAGTTTGCCACCAAAACTCTATTAATGCTGAAATTTTGGACATTGAAAAAAAATATTTGGAATTCTTTAAGATAATTGAAAAAAAATTTAGGTATGGTTAATTTGTTTTGTACTTAATTAAGTTAGGTATATTAAAAGCATTACTATTTTAAATAAACAAGTAACTCTTTTACTAAGATCATGTATTTGACATCTAAATAATTTAGGTACTACGAAATTACTCAACGACAAATTTTATTAATTTCTATTATTTTTACATTTTATTATATATGTTAACAAATATTGCTTTATGAAATAAATTATAATGGAACATAAATTATGGGAGAAGTAAAATAAAATTACTTTATTATTTTTTTATTTAATAAACATACATAAATATGAAAAATTGTTTACAGTCTTTCTTATAAACGCTAAAAGTTATGAATGGCCTGTCCTGTAAGCGACCAATTTGAGTTAGTGTTACAAAAGCTAATTAAAGTAAAAAAAATAAATTAATAACAACGTGATGGCTGAGGGGTACACTACTGTATACAATACTGACTTATAGACCTCAGAAGCTCTAAGTTCAAGTCTGACACTAAAAACTGTCTGTAATAATTGTTAATGATAAAATAGATAGATACTCTTTATTGTTTCCTCCAAAAGATTACAATAGTAAACTTATTGTAAATATATAAACATTTAAAAGAAATAATCACAATGAGAAAACAATGAGCAACCTTATCGCTAAAAGCTATCTCTTCCAGGCAACATTTGGATGGAGAGGAATAATTTTAAACAATTTGATCGGAGGCACGATGAAAATCCTATATTTCTAAATATGGAGATGTGATACATGTAATAATGTAAATATATATTCCTACTCATTATTAAATATACACACACATACATATACATACACACACATACATATACATAAAATAAGTATTTAAAAGTCCACTGTAAATTAAATTTCACAAACAGGTGTTTAATTCATTAATGTGATCACACTCTAGATAAATATCTAATTAACGGAATATTAAGTACACTCTCATGCTAATTAAATATGTTCTTTAATATACTGAAAATAGGGGAGTCTTAATTTCATTTGATTTGTTAACAGAATGAATAATTGACGTAATGTTAAAATAATTAAGTATAATAACTTGTATTTACCCATCAATGAATTTGCAGGCTTTAGATTTTAAGGCGAACATTTGTACTTCACAATAAATCAAGATCTGTAGGGTTGACTGGAAGAAATCCCTTTTATGAGATAAGTGCGCCATTGTACTCATTCTTTTCTTAAGAACTCTGTATCTTATAATTGAAGACTTTACTGTACAATAAAGTGTTAAAAACAAAACAAAAACAATGTTTTGGCAAATATTTGTATTTATCTATTCTTTATTTTGAGTCGTACATTGTAAAAATACCATGCCGCCTGGTTCGCTACAGAATGGGCCACCCTTTCCTTTCTCGTGGGTATTGTAAAAAGAAATTTACTGGTCGAGGCATAGGCAGCAGTATCCTTTTTAAAATATCACGAAAGACGAACTGTGGTTGTCAACCCCCCTGCCAAGCGTGGTAACTACTGGGAAAACCCCTTTATGGAGTAGGCCTATGTTCAGCAGTGGACAGTTATCTTAGTTGATATACAAATAATCATATGTATAGATATCATATACATACATCGTTAAACATCAATTTTAAAAATTATATGACTAAATCTATTTTTTTAACGCGCCACCTACCTATTTATTCTTTAATTCTTTCTACCTAAAGGTTGTCTGGAAGAGATTGCTTAGCAATAAGACCGCCTTTTGTACTACACTGCACTTATTGAAAATTGTTCGTCCTTCAAATCCTGTAATGTTGGTGCAATAAAGTGTTAAATAAATAAATAAAATTATTTATTATTATTAGATATATATTAGAGCAAAGTCTAACTGAATGTATATTTAAACCCTAAACGAAACATATTTTAATCGCAGGCTCTCCGCTTTGCTAACAATTGGAATAATCCAAAACGTCTATCCACAAGTTTGAATACTGTCATTCAGCCGAGTCAGTATTTTAACTACGAAACTTAAGTTTTACACTAAGTTTAAGTCGTAAGCTATATAACTTTAGGAAGTGATTCTGAGTATCATGTCAAACAATTCATTAAAACTAATAGTATTCATGACTGATAGTATAAATATAAACTTGCTTTTGATTGCAACTTTGAATGCCTGGATTTTAGAACCAAGAAAACAAATAATATAAATCACTAGGTATAGATAAACTGCTTCTAATTTGATGCAGAAGTCTTAGTATTATCCGGGGTTAAACATACAGGTAGGCAGATGGGCATAAACTAAAAAAAAAATTTTTAGGCTAAGACCAAACCCATTAAATATTGAATTGTTAAAACTAGAGTTTGTTCTATAAAAAAAAAAAAAAAAACACCGTCTTCAATCTTGGCAAAACAAGTTGTTTTTATTTAAAAACTAAACTACTGAACTGGTTTTCATAAAGTCTCTTTGAAACCAATCGGAAAATATATCAATTCCAATAAAAAACAATTTTTCAAATCGATTTACAAATCACGGAATTCCGTGGTAACAAACAAAATAAAAATTACAACCGAATTAAGAATTCACACCTTATTTTAAGTAGGCAGTGGACAGATAATGGTTGAAGTAATAAAAACAAATGATTTGATAGTTTGTGAAGCTGACGACGACGCCATAACAGCTGAACAAATTTGAATGAACTTTCTTCCCAATGTTATGTACTAAGAGTTAGACTCTTAGTCAACTTGTACGTAAATTAATACGAAAATTTATACGTACATACTTATATTAATAAGTTTAAAAAATTAACAGGGTCTGGAGATTAAAGGTCAGATGGTATTCTGCCCGGAGTCTGACTCTCTGCTCTTCGTGGGATCACCGTTCCTGGACGGATTGGAAGGTCTTACAGGAAGAGGCCTCTTCATCTCGGACATTCCACTTCATGACGCAACCCGAGATGTGATACTTGTTGGCGAACAAGCGCGAGCTCAGGTTTGTGTAAATTTAGATGAAATGTATCATGTATATTCTTTAGATATAAATATACATAAATATATATAATTTAATTACCTAAAAAATATTAACAAAAAAAAAAATACAATTAAAATTACTAAAATATATAAAAAACATTACAATAAAATAAGTTTTTGACGATTTATATTCATCATATTCCTACGATTCTGGTGAACGTAATAACGTGTAAAGAGGAAAGATTAGATCTTTTGTGTGTTTATTTGTAATGGCTGAATTCAAAACCTGCTGTTAGTATTGATTTTAAAAATTCTTTCACTTATATAAATTTACATTTTCAGTGAGTAGCATAAGCTATTTATTTAAAAAAAAAATTGAGTTTCCTACGAAAATCATAATAATATAAATCAAAATATTAAAAAATTGTCTATGAAGATAATATAAAATAGCAATTTGTCTTTTTATCTACATATATACCCGCGCGAAAGCCGATCACTATTTTTTATTAAAATTCATAAAAAATTCATGATACATTATACATACATTGATGATACATTATATATACCCTTCTTTATACGACAGTTGAGTAGAAATCGATAATAACTTACGTTCATTCATCAGGATGGGTTACGGAGAAGAATGGATAAATTGAAGAACTCAATAGAAGAAGCGAGCAAAGCAGTGGACAAAGAACGAGAGAAGAACGTCAGTCTTCTCCATCTTATATTCCCACCGCATATTGCTAAGAGATTGTGGCTAGGTAAGTTATTATTTTGAACTAACTTTATTTTGACGACTTACCCCCTTAGTCATAAAAACATCCTACAAACCTATTTTATCTATTAGTGTTTTGTTACTGTCTGTTAAATTGAGAAATTAGCGCACAAGAAAAGGACAAAACACTTCAATAGTTAAAAGAGGTTTATAAAAGGTCTAAATTTTTATTAATAAGGGGTAGTTTACATTCGGTTGGATTATATCATTATAAAGTGCTAAGTATCAAATTATTCACGGGTACCTTTGTCTCAGTCGTGTTTTTGTAGCCTAACAGTTGTTTACATAACTGTATTTCAGTTTAAAAGGTAATATATGGCAGTGAGATTATAGTGGAGGTATAAAACCTCAGATCTTAGGAATGGTAATGGAAACGGAGTGTCATGAGTGTCATACTGTAATCTGTAATGTCCATGGTGCTGGTCATAGAATAGAATAGAATAGAATAGAATAGAATAGAAATCATTTATTCAAATAAACTTACATTGAAGCACTTTTGAAAAGTCATTACATTTTTTTTAATTTACCGCTCGTTCGGAAAGCTGTCTCATCACAAGAAGAACGAGCAAGAAACTTGCGTGATGCTCTTTTAAATAATTTTATTATTATTTTACATTTTTAAGTTTAATTGTGTGAATACAAACCACCAATTAGCACTAATTCAATTAAATACTCAAAAAGAAAAAAAAAAATTGAATACATAACCAACTGGTTAAACAATTAATAAGAGGAAATCAGTCATAGTGATTAGAGCAGACCAGTCCCTACAAGCAGCACCCGTTCACGAGTATGACGGATGAGCCAGCCATCACTGCGCTCGACCATATTTTAGGGAGCCCAATGACCCGGCCCACCACGCCGCCACAAGTCTGGACATTTTAGTGAGCATGACTACTCAAAACACTAGACCACGTCAAAGCTACTCACAATTGCCATCTGATAGTTATAGTATTCACATTTTACATAAGAATGCATGCGGCAATTATTACAAAAAACCGCTACGCTTTCATATTTCTAAAATTAATCAATTAAATCAAGAAAGCAATGAGAAAATAAAATTATAACGTTGTATGCTAATAAACTAATTATTTACTTGATATGTTGTCATCTATGAATTCGTCTATCCTGTAATAGGCTTTCTTACATAAAAATTGTTTAATATAAGATTTGAATTGCCTCTCTGTCAGATTTAATGCAGATTCCGGCAGTTTATTATAAAATCTTATGCAATTACCATAGAATGAATTACTGATTTTGTGCAGACGGCATTTAGGTAAAATAAGCTTATTTATATTGCGTAAGTTTCTACTTGTACAGTCTTTGAGTTTTTTAAAACTCGCTAAGTTCTTCCGTGTATACATAATATTTTCATAAATGTATTGTGAAGTAACTGTGAGGATATTTGAGTCTTTAAAGCACTGACGTAATGACTCTCTTGAACCCATACCATAAATAGAACGTATGGCTCTCTTTTGTAAAACAAATATAGTATTTATATCGGCTGCTTTACCCCACAGCAGTATGCCATAAGACATTATGCTATGGAAATAACTAAAATATACAAGTTTAGCCGTCGCCATGTCTGTTAATTGCCTAATTCTTCTAATTGCATATGCAGCAGAACTGAGTCTACTGGCCAATTTTGAAATATGGGGCCCCCATTGTAATTTCGAGTCCACTGTTATACCTAAAAAAACTGTATCATTAACAAAATTTACTATTTCGTCATTAAGCAATAACTGTGTATTTATTAGTCTTACATTAGGAAGTGTAAATTTTATACACTTTGTTTTGCTGGAATTTAATAATAGGTTATTACATGTAAACCAATTTAATATTGCAGACATAGCACAATTTACATCGTCTAATTGATTACTTTGACGTCCAATTTTAAACACTAACGAAGTATCATCCGCAAACAGCACTATATCTGCAATTTTCTCTACCATAAAGGGAAGGTCATTTATGTAGATTAAAAAGAGAAAGGGGCCTAAGATTGACCCTTGTGGAACGCCCATCTTAATATTAGCTCCCTTAGATTTTACACCGTCAATATCTACAGTTTGAACCCTATCCTCTAAATAAGTTCTCATTAATTTTAGATCATTATCTCTTATACCATAATGTTCGAGCTTGTACAAAAGCGTTTTATGATCCACACAATCAAATGCCTTTGATAGGTCACAAAAACTCCGAGTGCATCCTGTGACCTCTCCCAAGATTCGAAAATATGTGTCATTAGCGCAACACCTGCGTCAGTGGTAGACTTGCCGGCGGTGAAACCATATTGCTGACTGTGAAGCAGTCCGTTAACCCTGAAGTGATGTAACATTTGATTTAACATTATCTTTTCAAACACCTTACTTAGTACTGGCAAAATAGATATAGGTCTATAGTTCCCTGGCTCAAATTTATCTCCTGATTTAAATAGTGGGATTAATTTGCTAAATTTCATTAAATGTGGAAAAACGCCATTATCAATACATTTATTAAAAATAGTGGCTAGATATGGAGCAACAATATCTATGAAAGAACTAACTACTTTTACAGACATGCCCCAAAGGTCTTCCGTATTTTTTAAATTTAGCTGTTTGAATATTTTTATGATATGAAAGGGGCTAACATGTGAAAATTTAAATCTTAAAGAACAACAACCGATATTAGTCTCTAGTAATTTTTTTGCTCGAGATTGAGATGAGTCCAGAGAAGATGTAATATCAATCGGAATATTAGCAAAAAAATCTTCAAAAATATTAACTACATCTTTTGTTGTTGTTATTAATTTATTATCATAATTTAATGTAAATTGATTACAGGCTATTTTAGATCTTCCAGTTTCTTTATTTATAATGCTCCAGATGGTTTTAATTTTGTCAGAAGACTGCTTAATTTGTTTATTAAAATAATTAGACTTAGCCATAATACAAACTTTTTTAAAAATTTTAGAATAATTTTTTACATAAGTGGTGAATTTGTCATCAAATCGATATTTTTTTTGATCGTATAAATCAAACAAAATATTTCTACTTTTAAGTATTCCTACTGTTGCCCATTCCGTGAATTTAGATTTAACATGAACTTCTTTTTTCTTGAAAAATTGTTCATATTCTCCGGATAAAATATTAATTAGCTTGGTGTAAAGATAATCAGGATTATTACTAGATTGTAACAGCAAATCCAATTTATTTTTAATCGCGCTTTTGTATTTATTAATATTGTAAACGTTTATTTGTCTTTTTGATTTTTTATTATTGTTGACTTTATTGATTTGACTGCTAAACTTAACAACTTGACCACAGTGATCTGAAGGAAGTTTATTTATTATGAATTTTTCTGTATACTCGCAGTTACAAAAAACATTGTCAAGACAAGTAGCAGACGTGGCAGTTACACGAGTGGGTTCATGAAAGACATGACATAAATCAAATGACTGAAATAAACTAATAATTTTTGTACATGTGGGTGTGTTACAAAGAATATCAACGTTAAAATCTCCACATACAATAATTTTTTTAATACTATTAAATACTTTTTTTAAAATATCCTCCATCACCCCTTCAAAAACATTGTAATCACTATTAGGAGGCCTGTACACACATATAAGGATATAATTTTCTAGTTCTATACAAGATAATTCTATACAACACTCAATAGAAAGTCTAACAATGTCAGCACGTTCCTTTACTTTAATATTATTTCTTGCAATTATCATAGACCCGCCTCTGTTAACTGACTTTCTATTGAAGCAGCTGACAACGTTATAATTATTTAAATTGAACATCATATTGCTTTCTTTAAGCCAATGTTCTGTGAAACAGACAATATCAATATTATACTTTTCTAAAAATAATTGTATAATTAACTCGCTGCCGGGAAAACTTTGTATGTTCTGATGAACAATTATTAATTCTGATTGCTTTCCCTTTGTCTTTGTGAGCAGTTTAAATCTGCAGTCATAGTACTTATGTCACAAATATTAATAGAATTATCTGTTATGTCAGCATTTTTATGTTTAAGTTTACCATGTAAACTGTTCATGTAGTCAATATTATAAGCCACTAAAGTGGCTATTTTATTTTTAGATGATTTAGAAAGATACATTGTATCTTTTGTCAAATAAAAATCACTAATAAAACTATTAGTATCAAAAAATGTCAAAATGTCACTATGATGACATGTCAATGTATGTAATAAGTTATTCAGGTAATGTACCTTACTGTTAATTTTTTTATGAAGATGTCTATTTGTGTAAGGAAAAGCGCACAATACAATCTTATACACATTTAATTGTAATAAATATTCAATTCCTTTAATTACATCCTGCCTATTTAATTGAATACTATTACCAAAAAATAACACAATTGTGGTCATATTGTTCATTTTCGTAGACTTAATTTTATTTATTATTTGTGTAAATGATGCTTCTGGCATGCAGTAGTTTAATAAATCACCCTTAAGATGATACTTCAATATAGACCCAAAGTTACAGCCTATTCTGTCAGAGAACACCATTGTGCTACTCTTAGGGTTACAGTCACTGGCACAAACACCCTGAACTTCATTTTCCAGCACAGTTACAACTGAATTATTATTTGATATATTTGTGTGATTACATGTACAATGCTTAGTCAACGACTCAAAACGGTCAGCATTGTATTTACTGACATCAATCAGATCATCCATTGCTAAAATATGCTCCTGGATTTGTTTCTGAGAGATAATATACTTTGTATTTAAATCATGAAGCGAAGATTCTAAACTATTGATTTTTGAAGTTAGGTAGTCTGTATCAATGTCATATAACTTTTGGCTTTCCACTAACTTATTATTACACTTATTAATGTAATCATGCAATTTTAAATTATTCAAAGTGGTTTTTTTCAATAATTGTCCCTTTTTGCAACGCTTATTTAATATATTCCGATTCTTAATTATAAACTTTTTTAGTTTTAAATATTTTTTAAATTTATTATTACTCAACATACA